ATAGAGGTGAATAGGGTGGAGCCGCCGTCGCCGGAATTACCGGCGGCGGCGACGAAAGCAATGAACTCTTTTAGGTCACCAAGAGCGATGACTCTGATACCATTTTGAAATATTAGAATAATAATAATATTGCTCCTTGAATTATGAATTACATGATAGAGTATATATAGAAGAGACTACTAACACAACTAGAAATAGAAAATGGAAACTAACAAAAATACAAAATCTAACACAAATAGGAATAGGAAGCTGACTACTAATCAAAAAATACCATAACCAATACTACTAGAAGTAATATTAGTATTTTGTCTAACATCATAGATTTTGCTGGATTGTCTCCCAAAATATTGCTTATCTCAAATCGCTTCTCAGGACATCAGATTTTCACGAACTTTTGAACAAAGCAATAATGTAGATCCGGCCACCAAACCTGTTGATACCCCCGACGATCCGCCATCAGGATCGGAGGCGGCGATGGGGGCCCCAGACTACCTCCTGCTCCTCCTCTTTTAGGAGGAGGTTTAGAGGGAGTGGAGCGGGGTGGAGGACGAGGTGGAGAAGGAGGCATTCGCGATGTAGGTGTAACACCCCAATCCGTATAACCCGAAATTACACGAATTAAGGTGAAACGAGGGTTAATTAAAAATTTCGCTTGACATTTGAAAATGACAATTTATTATAACTGCTAAATTTACAGACTCTGGATCGCGATCCATTTAAAAATATTTTCAGAGTAATGCGGAAGTACAATAATAATTAAATCATGACACATTTAAATTCTTTGATGATCAAATATTTGCCTGCCATCCTTGCATCTCCTCTGACTCAATGCCCTCCGGGAGTGGTTCCATCATTGTCCTCTTGTTACCTACGTGTAGTCAACGAAAAATACAAACTACACACTCAGCGAAACCGCTGAGTAGTACCACGCTAGAATTGTAGAATAATTCATAGACATAGACATATACATATACATACATACACATACATACATATATATATATATATATATATATATATATATATATATATCCACAAAAATGTATAATAATATTCATGATATGGCACATTATATCATATGGTCAATTTGATGAATCATGATGATAAATATTTACTGTTAATTACATGATGGCACATTTAATCAATTTACTTGTTCGTGAGGATGATTACATGACACCTATGTAATCAATATAATTGTTCTTGATGATGATTACATGACACCTATGTAATCAATATATTTGTTCTTGATGATGATTACATGACACATATGTAATCAATGTACTTGATGATGATAACATGATGCATGAACCTATAACCCGCAAGGAACGACCTTGCCCTATGAGATTCGCTCATTTGGTACAACGAACTCATGCCACCTTAGTCTCACGAATGATGTGAGACTAGAAAAAAGGGGTGGTACTCGAAAGCATGAATACCATGTACGTACACTAAGCCCGGTCAGCGATGTCGGACTGCTAAGTCCCGCACAATCACGCTATAAGAGACGCATGAGGCATGATCTCTTATGCATGCATACGATGTGATATGCTTCAATAGGAATAATGAAATGAATGATATGATGTGAACAATTTGCAAACAATATGAATATATAATCATGCATAGGTTTATTTGGTTGAAACATAATTAAAATATCATTTAATCAAGCTACTGGCTCGGAACGGTCGACCGTTTGGCACGGCGGTCGACCTCGATCTTCATTTCGTCGGATTGGCAGAACACCGTGACGGTCGACCGCGGTTGACCGGCGGCCGGCCGTTGTTGACTGGATGGCGACGGCGGTTCTCGGCTGGGCAAGCGACGGTCGACCGTTGGCCACCGGAGGTCGACCGTTTGTCTGACAGTCGGGGTCCATTTCGATGTTTAACGCGACGGTCGACCGTTTGCGTCGACCGTTCGGGTCTGCGAATCTTATTCTTGATTGCCAAAAAAACTTTCAAAATAACTTCTACCCATAATAAAGAATTTTTTTTGTAAATTTTAGGCATTTTAGATGTTGTTAGAAGTGTTTTATGGGATGCGCAAAAAATGAAACAGGAAAGACTTTTTGGGACGGAGGGAGTATTTTATTATACCAATATGCAATGCAGTTTCAATGTAATTGAAAATTAAAATTTACCTAATTTAATACAAAAAAAATATGAACCAATATCTAAAATGTATAGGGTAACTATCTTTTTCTATTGTTATCTGACTACCACTTCTTTGTCTCTTTAAGAACTTTGCTTTAAAGTTGACGCCATGAGGATTAAACAAGAGCACCAGTGGTCTAGTGGTAGAATAGTACCCTGCCACGGTACAGACCCGGGTTCGATTCCCGGCTGGTGCAATACTTTTTTTTACCTGACCTCGTTTTTCAAATATTTTTGCTCTTTTCCCCTATCACGATTCAAGACTCAAGAGCGTTTTTAAAACAATCAGCAGAGTATATTTGATGTGAATCGTTCGAACCAATCTCCTCTCAGTTCTGATTTTACTTTGCAAAAACAAACCACTGATTTCACATATTGTTCATTCATATAATCTGTGGGTAAAAATCAAACTCTTCCAATTTCATATACTCCTTATTATACATTTTCCCACAACAAGTGTGCATATTACCGCAGTGCAAAGAGTATGTATGTATGTATATATGTGTGTGTGTGTATATATATATATATATTATATAATACTCCATAATAAAATTAAAAATACAGAAGATTGTTATAACTAATTAAAATTTGTCAACTCTGATTCCATCTCTGTTAACTTCATAAGCATCTCTGTTCCTGGTTTTCTTCACCCCAACTGAGAAGTGTACTTTTGAAGAGTTCTCATCAGATGAGATTGCAGAGACTCTAACCCAAATCATCACCTTCGTTTTGATTCCGTCAATGTCAGTTAGCCTTCCTTTCTCCAGATGCCCATTCACGGTGGTATTGAACCGCAGAACGGAGGAATCCTTATAACAGACTTCACATACGGACGGTATATACACGGTCAGCTTTCGCGTCTCTTCGCTGAACTCATAGTTTGTGGCATCCCTGGGGAAAATGCCTATGGGCAGGTCATGCTCTTTCAGCAGCTCCGGTAATGGCTTTTGAACTTTTCCTGCAAAATCAGCCCAACCAAGACATGAGCATTCAACTTACTAGGAAGGGAAAGACAAAGATGCACATATTATTAACCAGAATGAAGTATTGAGATCTTGGATATGAACACACCTTTAATTTTGTTAACCAACCATGTGGCTCCTCCTTCTATGCTGCTTGATATGGACTATGCAGGGAAAACCATTCAGATACCGAATGTCAAATATATAAAAATGAAAAAAACATATCTTTTAAAAAGTGACACACCATTAGAGATCTTTAAGTTTAAATGAATCACAATGAAAGGAAGCATACATGCAATCTCTCAACTCCAAACCTCTCTGGAGTTGAGGAGTGCACTTGTGTTTCGGAAACTATCCACAGACTTGTTTTTTTAATCACATTGTTGAAACATTACCCGTTTCTAATTTCACACTACACGGGTTTCTCGCGTTCCAATATCCAAAGATTTTGTCTAAAGGGTGAAGTGAACTTAGTTCACCATTGATATTACACTTGGCACATGCTAGCAACTAGGGATTCAACCCAAAAAGCTCCATTTCTTTTAAAAACGATGTCTTTGGGAAGGTGTCTATATACCTAAGCTCATAGGTAAGGGTAATGAACACCAATTGGGTTGAATTTCATCATCTTAAGCCATAAATCATTCAATTACTAACCAAGAATCATTCAATGTCACCAAAATTTCTGCAATCCGCGACTCAAATGCTCAATCGGAACGAAACTGACGCGCAAAATTAAACAAAACAAAACAAACAAAAAAAATGCAAAAATTAGGAAATGGAAGGGCGAGAAAACGAGGAGAAGAGGATTACGTTGATATCATCGCCAACGGAGCTGAGCTCCTTCGAGGCTCTCTGCCCGACCCAGTAAGAACCGACCTTCCCCAATATCTGATCCATCCGGATCCGTGTGTGTTTGCGTAATTGCACGTAGAGATTACTGAAGAATTACGGCCTTCGGATTCGAAAAGATTCGATGCCTCCTCCAGATCGGTCCCTTTCTCGGTGAACGGAATCCGATTAGGGATTGGGAAGGAGAGAGATGATTCGTTCGTTACAGAATTTTCAACGAACTTGCAGCCTATGACATTTCGATGGATGGAAGTTTGGGGAAACGGGAAACGCTCTCGGTAAAAAGACTAGACAAAATTAGGAATATTAAGGGAATGAATTAAGCTTGGGGTACACCAACATGGGGTACTCCAGTGTACAACAAAGCCAACACATGGGGTACTCCAGTGTACAACAAAGCCAACACAGACACAAAGCACAGACATTTTGTGTCTGTGTTGGCTTGGTGTACACTTGGGGTACCCCATGTTGGTGTACCCCTAGCATTGCCCTAAGAGAATTCAAAACACGCAGGAATGAAATTGCATTCTAATGTGCTCCTAGTATCCCGTCTAAAAATATTTGAGTTAAGTCCCGAATCCGACTTTTAACAATAATCAATTCAATGTATCTAATAATTTTAAAAAGATTAAATCTAATTATTTTGCGTTTCATTTTTAATAAGGAATTATAAAAATGATTATAAATGGCATACTTGATATAGTAGCACTTTGTCAAAAGATTATACGGAGTACTCATTATATCTATAGATAGGCTTTTATGTTATAAAATATTCGGGTTTGAGTCAGGTCGGGTGCGGGTTCGGGTCGGGTAAAATGATAAACTCACACCCGACCCGACCCGATGTCGGGTTCGGGTAAAAAATTTCAGGTCGGGTTCAAATTATTTTATTCTAGGTTCGGGTTTGGATATTTTAGTTGTCCGTCTGGTATCTTAAGATGGGACGTTGAATTGCCATCCCTAGGTTCGACCTGTTTCTTGAATTTCCTGTCCCATATCCGAGACCAGACTAGCATTTCAATCTTGAAGCTCAACAATACAATACAATACAAATCCTTATCTGCTCAACCTTCAGAGCGATCTTCCCCGATCCATTACATATGATTTATGCTCCATTAGAGTTTATCAGTGGAGCTTCAACCCCATGTGATTAGATCAAACCGATCTCTGGTAAAATGGATCAAAGATCCAATTTTGTATATCCAAATCAAACTGGCTCGAGGAAATTTGTGTTTGTACTATGTATATCGTTCGCTTTGATCATGCTTTTCCAGTTTCTTGAGCTTCCACATCATACTATGATGTCTTCTTTCCTTTCTGCCAAGAAACTCTTACCCTTTTCTGGCAAAAGTTTCTTCCTTTCCAAGAACAGCCCATCATCATCTGCTAATGATACCACGAAAAATGATGGCTTTTCTTTGTTTCATGATCAAAATGTGAGCTCAATTTCCCCCGCAGTTTATGTGAATCACAGCGGGTTATCATCGGCTCCGGGTGGAGACTCCCAAACAGTGGTTGTTACAATATCTGAGATGAACAATCTGTTGCTGCAGAGTTATTCTTCCCCGCATTCATCGGTATATATATGAATTCCCTGCACTAATCATGGGATTTCAACAAGCATGTAAAGATTTAGGGTTTGTTTGGGAATGCCGTTTTTTATTAGCATTAGTGTCCAATGGGGCAGATTACTTTTGAGGATGATGAAGCTAAATATTAAAGTTAATCCCAAACGGAGCCTTAATATGCTTTATGTATATTTCCATTTCTTTCTGTGCAGCAGCAGCAGCTAACAAAGCCACACTCACAAGTTGACATTGAGCTGTTTCGGATAAAAGAAGAGATTATGAATGCCCCTGCCGTGCTAAGTGATGTGGAACTCTACGCGTCTGTGTATCGGAATGTTTCAATGTTCAAAAGGCATTGCCAATAACATCCATCTGGTTATTCCTCTATTTGATACGGAGTATATATATTCATGATCATCTACCACTAGTTGTGCTAAAGATCGGCTAGATATGAACGAATGAATCCCTAATATATGTAAGTGTGCGTGATTTGTTTCTGAAATTGGGAATTTACTTGAAGGAGCTATGAACTGATGGAGGAAAATCTTAAGGTGTATATCTACAAGGATGGAGAAAAGCCGATCTTCCATTCATCAATACTTGAAGGAATATATGCAACGGAGGGATGGTTCTTGAAGCTATTGGAAGCAAACAAGCATTTTGTCACGGACATTCCAACCGAAGCTCACTTGTTTTACTTGCCATTTAGTTCGCGGCTGCTGGAGCTAACACTATACGTGCCTCATTCTCACAGCCGCAACAACCTCATAGAGTACATGAAGACGTATGTGGACACACTCATAGGAAAGTACCCTTTCTGGAACAGAACTAATGGAGAAGATCATTTTCTAGCTGCTTGCCATGATTGGGTATGTAGTAATAATTTCAAACATCTTTCATTAGCTTTCACAATTTAATTGCTTAGACAAGGGCAAAATGGTCAATAAGATATTGAGGTTAACTAAATAATCGATTCTATGAGTAATGGCACTATAATTGATGAAGCATTACTATCATAGGCTCCAGCCGAAACAAGAGGAAAAATGGTAAATTGCATTAGAGGACTATGCAATGCTGATATAAGAGCAGGCTTTGTTGTGGGAAAGGATGTGTCTATACCAACAACATATGTTCACTCAGCTAAGAACCCTACCGAAGACAATGGTGGCAACCCTTCTTCTTCAGAAAGGTCAATCTTAGCCTTCTTTGCAGGCCAGATGCACGGGAGAGTGCGCCCCATTTTAGTAAATTACTGGGGAAAAGATCCCGACATGAAAATCACGGGGCCCATTCATCACGTGAAAGGCGATAAGAGCTACATTGAGTACATGAAGAGAAGCAAATACTGCATATGCCCGAGGGGTTTCGCGGTCTTTAGTCCCCGGGTGGTGGAGTCCATCAACTACGGATGCGTCCCCGTGATAATATCGGACGATTATGTCCCTCCCTTTTTTGAGGCTCTAAATTGGGAGTCGTTTGCGGTTTTCGTTTTGGAGAAGGAGGTTGTGAACTTGAAGAGGATACTTCTTTCCATCTCAGATGAAAAGTATGTTGAGATGGAAAGAGGAGTGAGAGAGGTGCAGAAACACTTTGTTTGGCATGCTGAACCTCTAAAGTATGATCAGTTCCATATGATTCTTCATTCAATGTGGTACACCAGAGTTTTTCGCACCCAAAACCCCCCCATGAATTTCTCTTCTGCAAATTTAAAAGATTAACATATATGATAGTAGCAAGAATTGTTTCTGTTGTTTTTTGACAACTGTTTTTGAAGACGTCATAGGAAAGAAGCTAAGTGAGACGGTATCACAAGTAAGGCTGCGTTTCGTTCCCTTGATCTCATTTGATTTTTTGAAGATCTAATCCGATCTGATTAGATGTTATCTGTTCTGATCTTAATGGATCTGACTAGATATGATCTAATTGGAAATATGACTCAAATGGAACTTAAAATTATTGCCCTAATTTAATAACTTTTAAAAAATATAATGATCATTCATATTATAGTTCAATCAATAACTTGTATTCTATAACTATTACGGAGTATATTCATGAAATAAAAATAATTTATTCATATATACATTATAACAAAAAATTGTTGACAATAACCAATAATTGGAAAATTTAACCATTTACTTTTAAATATTCAATATAGGTTGGGAAGAGGGTATTATTATAAAAATTTTCAATCATTAAAAAAATATGAATGTTATGCTACAAAATATGTTTTTCTACATCCTACACAATGATACTCCGTATATTGCATTCTACAAGTGTTCAACAAAAAATATAGCATGCTATAAATTATACATTACAGTTATGATAATAATAATAATAATAATAATAATAATACTCCGTAGTAATAATAATAATAATAATAATAATAATAATAATAATAATAATAATAATAATAATAATAATAATAATAATAATAATAATTTCCTATTTGGATTTGATTCGATTGTTATAAAAAATAATAAGTAAAAAAATTAAATTGAATTTATATGGCATTTTCTACACAAATCGTACAGAGTGCTCTTAGATAAAAAAGACAAAAATAGAAATAAAACATTGAAAATATATTAAAATATGATTTGCATGTTTTTATTCTAAAAAAAGAGTTAAAATGCGTTTACATTATCAAACATGGTCATGTACATTATTAAAAAGTATAGTAATACAATGTCAGATTACCACAGTGTGAAGTCTTAAATTTTAAAAATAAAAACATAAAAATCCCTATTTTAGTCATTTGTGAGTGAAAGGCCATTAGAGCTTAAATAAGCGCAGTAGGTGATTGCACAGCGAGGGTTTCGGACTGCGTCTTTGAAGTATCCGGACACCGCTGCTTGTTCGTCGCCGGAAATACCTATCATCGGAAAATGCCTTGCCTGAACCTGTCGACGAATGTCAACCTGGAAGGCGTTGACATCTCCTCCATTCTCAAAGAAGCCACTTCGGTCGTCGCGAAGCACACTGGCAAACCTGAAAGCGTACGATCGTTCCCTCTACCCCTCATTGTTCTATTCCTTAATGATTGTTTTAATTCAACTGTAATTTCTGTTGTGGTTTAGCTTGATTGGTATCCTTTTGCTATACTTCCTTGTGAATAAGATTCACTGTGCCAAATGGAAGAAGAGGATTAGCGAAATCAGAGAAGTTATGAGATATGCTCTTGATTGAATTGAGGGCCGTTCCATGGTGATTAATACCTTCCGATCTACAATGTCACGGCTAATCCTTGATGATTTAAGTGAGGTTTTTTAGGAGAATTTTGCTAGTGTAAATCTGGTATAGAGACTTTCTCCAGTGAATCTAGTAGTACCATGGACGCAGTTAGGTTTGAAGTGTTTAAGATGTACACTCTATTATGCTTGCATACACATTTATTTATTGTACTAATCATGAATCAACAGTCAATACTTCTTTGAGGCATTTTATTGTAGTTGTTTGGATGTCAAATATATGGTCATCCTTATGCTGTTTTGTATTCTTGAGTCAATTTATGCTTAAACTTTTGTGCTCTTATAGTGTGAAATGTATTTGAATGTATGGTGCGGAGTATTTGTAAGTGATGGTAGTTGGGTAGGCATTTTGGACGAGGTGGTAGTTTTCTCACTTGTTGTGTGCTTTATATGCTTGGTGCTTTCTGTTTGTTGCGCTTTTCCCTTTGTTAATATTAGTTTGTTCTTTGCTTTTTTGTGCTTTCTTTGTTTTACGTGTCTTCAATCAGCTTGTGCTATATGTGTGTTATGTGTTTGATCCGAAGGTTTCATGGAAACAGCCTCCCTACTTTCGAGTAGGGTAAGGTTTGCGTACACATACCCTCCGTAGACCATAATTGGGTTTTTGTTGTATTTATAATTGATGGTGACTTGTACCTCCTAGTCTCCTACTCAATTCAATTGGCTGGTGGTTGTAGTGGTATATTCGGTGTTTGCTATGAATTGAATCCTTCTCTCTGACACCCAAAGTGATTAAAGCTAAATGTTGCTGCTGTTGTGCAGTATGTGATGATTGTGTTGAAAGGATCTGTGCCTCTGTCTTTTGGAGGGACAGAGGATCCAGCAGCTTATGGTGAGTTGGTATCGATTGGGGGCCTGAATGCTCAAGTTAACAAGGATCTAAGTGCTGCTATTGCTACCATTCTTGAAACAAAGCTGAGAATTCCCAAGAGTCGCTATTTCCTGAAATTCTATGATTCCAAGGCAAGTTTTGTCATTTCTCCAAGTGGTTTGAAGAGCAGACCTTCCTCCCAACTCATTTACACCTTTTTTTCCCTGGTTGTTTAGGCCCATCAATGTCAAGAATATGCACAATGCCTTCATGCTTTACACCAGCACTAGTAGATGATAATGTAATACAGGCTTTCACTCACTGCTCATAAGCACAAGAAACAAGTTCAATAGTTTTTCTAATCTGTATATCTTATTAGCTTCTCAGACTCTAGTGAATTTCTTCTCTTTTGCTTCTTTTCTTTTTTTGGAGTATTCTCAACGAAGCGTAAACCTTGAATATCATGATCCTGATTATTATCTATCTGTTTTGCAGGGATGTAACTTTGGGTGGAACGGATCCGTCTTCTAGTTGTGCACCCAGAACTTCCATGTGTGGAGTAGCTGTGCCCAAACCTTTGATGAATTATGATGGATATTACCCATCTCGTGCCTCTGGCTTATTGTGGGTAGACTTGAAACATCTTTTGAATAAGACTTGACATTTTCTATGTAGTTGCTTTGTGAATTTATGATCTGTGTTTCATAATCAAAGGTTCAAGCATAGCCCTATGACTGCGCATGTTCTTGCCATCTATTTCCTCATCCCCATTCTAGTCCCTAGGATCATACAAACATATACATATACACTATCTCTCTATCTATATCCTGTCACTCCCTTCCGTTGTTGAGAAACAGTTTACATGACCGTACCCGAAGCGGTAACTGGTTGATTACCCGATTCCGGTCCACTCACCCTTCCAATCTCACTCACATGGGATGGGTCCCTACACGTTTGTGATTTTTCCAACCAAGACATCCCTTGTCATGCTACGCACAATTGGTGACAAACGATATAAAAAAAAAAAAGACAAGGGCAGATTTATCACATCAGCTTTATTAAATTTTGAAAAGAAGACATGCAATGTGCTTGTATATTTGCGGTAATAGGCTAATTCAGTAACTAACCTTCTCTGCTCTCCATCCATAACCACTGCTCGTTCATTTAGGGTCTGCCTTCCATAACTAGTACTCATTCATTTAGTGCTCATTTGGTGAACAAGTGAGATATACTCTCTTTATGATGTTTGGTAAAGTCTTGAATTTGATATTTTTAGATATCAAAATCCCCTTGAATGAGAGTTTTTACCCAAATTTGGGATATATCAATATAGGTGTTTGATATTTCTTTAATTGCCAACACTGCCCCCTCCCACTAGCTTTCACCATCACGGTTAACGTGAATTTTATCACCCTAAAAAGAAACATTCATCGTAGAACGTGCATCCCCGAGCTAAACATCAAACCCAACACCTCAGGTAGGCCACAAGATGGCTACACCCTTCCAACACACCATCTGGCACTACAAGCAAACATAATCATCCAACTCAGTAAACAAGTTTAATTTTACAGATCACCGCTGTTACATCAGAGGTTTGATGGTCAAAGTAGACATCGTCGCTTATTTTCCAGAGGTGAAAAATGGTTCCCATCATAGCCAGCCTCCGAGCTTTCTTCCTCCTCCATGTGCCTCTTCTTTGACCCCTCATCCATTCTCTGCCCTTTCAAGAGTACTATATATATATGCTCTGCGAGACCTGCTTTGAAAAATCACAAGCTAAGAAAAGGTTTTTGAGTGGTCTTCCAACTCCTCCCCACATTAACCACAACTAGGGCTCATGTCAATGAACAGAAGGTTGGCTTTAGTAGGCAACCATCCCTTAAAAGCCAATGATGTGGTGAAGGACAGCCTTGGAGGTATATAAGCCTGCTGCCAAATAAACTACATCCAAGGCTTTTGACTGTTGCTCTATGTGCCTCTAACCCTTAAGATATCATACACTCTGCTAGTGTCTTTCTCACATAGGGATATCATACCTAGCACCACCATACCATGTCCTCCCAGTCTGAGAAGAAGATGATCTCTAATGCCAGCAAGCCTTCACCATCATTTCCACTTGTCGCCAACCACCTCTTACCGGTTACCATCGTCTATCACTAGCAAGATTTATTTTGGATCTATCCTAACCATATCAAGTTATCAACCTTCAAGAACTCGACAAACTACCCTAAGCTTACTTTTTTTTTCTTTTTTAGGAAATGAGTTTAAAATGGCAAAGCCAATTTTTTTTGTAACCACTCGGTTGAACCAAAATTTCTATGGAGCCTCTAAGAGGAAAGTACGTCAGGTGGATTGGTGAAATTTCTATTCTTTCCGTCCTTGAAAACATGAGTGATTTTGATTTTTAAGAGCGTGTTTTGGTGTAGAGCTTCCAAAAATATCTTTGGATGATATGGGTTAAAATAGAATTTGATGGGTAGATTAATAGTGAATGAATGTGATGTGATAGGTATGTTAAGAATTAATACGGGTAAAATTAACTTTTTAATAGAAATGAGAAAAACTTTTTTAGAATTGATAAAAAGAAAAGGAGAAAAGTTTTGAGTGACGGAGAGAGTTCATCTTATCTCCAAATGAGAAGGTACTTTGAAGTCCTTAATTACACACAATGGTAGTTGTGACTAGGGGAAGACACAATATCGATTTTGAATTGGTGCGAGAATTGTCATTTTTCTAGAACCACACTGGAAA